ACCGCAAGCAACTCAAACATCACTACCATATAAGTTGATGAGGTTGTAGGTCATATTAAGAACTATGAGATAAAGTACTATAGAAATTCCCTAAAACCTAAGAACTTAGCCGTAAAAGCTTCAAAGTCTGATTCTTCCAAGTCTGAGGTTAGATATGATAGTGAGTCTGATGAAGAAATTGCTCTCATCACTAGGAAGTTCAGAAATTTAATCAAGTCTGAAAAGATGAATGCATTTAAGAAAGGGGGAGAGTCAAGGTTTAGGAATAAAGAGTTTTCATCTAAGGGAAGTGAGAGATAAGATAAAAGGAGAGAAGAAGAGTCTAAAGGAACTAAGATTAAATGTTGGACATATGGTAGTATAGGTCATACATCAACAGTTTGTCCAAGTCCTAAAAATACCTTTATTGCTAGGAAAGAGTCCAAAGATAAAAAGAATGGTAAAACAATGAAAGTTTCAGTTTCTAAGGATAATGATGCTTCTTTTTATGATGATGATTCTTCTTGTGATAATGATAATGATAATCCTTTTGTTTTTGTTGCTTTTGTGAATAATGATGCTTCTAAAAGATTTCCTTGTCTGATGCAAATGACTCGGATTTTGAGGATATGGTAAAACCTAAGATGAAGATTGTTACAAGGAAGCAACAAAGGAAAATTATAATAAAGCCTTCAAGAATTGTATGTTACATAAACAAAGAAAGGTTTTAATAAACAAGGTAGAGAATTGAAAGAAATTGAGAAGTAAAGAGATGCTCTGAAAAAATAAAATGAATAGAAAAATAAGGAAATAAAAGATCTTCATGGAAAGGTAAGATTCCTAGAAGGTGAGGTAAGTCAAGTTAATTCCGCAAAAGAATCTTTTGTTTCTAAATTGGAATTTCTTGAAATTGAATTGAAAAAGTCACAAGAAAAATTGTTTGGATTTACTTCTAGGAAGATTAAACTTGATGAGATACTTAATGTTGGTAAGAATGTGAATGACAAAATTGGCTTAGGTTTTAATGAGGCTTCATCTAGCAGTAAGGGTAAAACTGTTTTTGTGAAACCCAATAACTTGAATGTGCCTAAAAATAAATTTGAGATTGTTGATTCATCACATGCTAATATGTCTTATGTGCCTACTATTTTGCATTGCACTTATTGTGGTAGGAATGGACATAGCCAATATTATTGCTTTAGGAAGAAAAGAGAAACTTTTTCTGAATTTCATGCTTTTGGTTCTTATGCTAAGAATAGGGTTCATGCTAGAAAGTAAAATTTTGTGAATCAACCCAAAAATTCTCATGCTAAGGATTACTCAAACAAGAAAAAGGTTGAAATTGAAAAGTCTTTTCAAAAGTTGAATGTAAAGACTGTGTGGATCAAAAAAGAAGACTTGGTTAATTATGTGCTTGTTGATGCTATAGGACTTGTTTCTATTAGGTCTATGGGTGCAAACCCCCCTAACTAAGTCCTAAAGAGTTTTTATGGCCATGGACTATGCTTTGATGAATATCTTGTTTCTATTGGACCATATCTTGTAATTTAGAATTTAGGTTGTTTTTCTTTTTATGAGAAAGTGATGATCATGTTTTTTCTTATCAATGCATGAGTGATAATTATTTCTCTTGAATTAATTATTTTTGAATGCAAATTAGGGACACATGATTATTTGATGAAAAAATTCTTGATCTGTAATCTATATGTTGAAAGACAATTTACTTTATTTATTTCTTTTTAGAGATGAGTCTCTCGAGTTCATATTTTTCATGTGCACTAGTCCAACTCTGAGAAATTTAATTGGAAATCATTATGAAGTTGACTATGTCATATTGCTCATAAAAGCTGTAAAGGTTATTTAAAAAGATAATATAGAAAGAAAAAAAAAAGGGAGCATGTGTTTTAAAAAAAAAATGAAATTTCAGCATGAAAAGAAAAGAAAAATCAAAAGAATACTGAAAATCTTGCTAAGGAAAAGGTTACCTATTGAGACTAGTTCGAAAGCTCCTACTAGACTTTGAAGATAAGCTAATTGAGTAAAAAGAAAGGAAGAGGCAAGTTGAAATATGGAATTGCTATCTACTTTTTAGAGTGAAAGCCACCTTGCTTAGAAAAGTTTGTTCAAAACAATCTTATCTTGATGTTTTTCGATCAATATGGTTTGGACAGTTGATCAATGTGATTTGATTAAAATTGATAAGGTTGGATTGCACACACATACATATGAGCTTGCTAGGCAAATTTCTAAATCTTCATAAAAATTGCAAGTTGAATTTCATGTTGTGATTGCATACTTAAGAATTGATTTGATTGAATAATTTGTAAGGTCTAAAAATTGTGTTTAAAAATTCTCTTGAATTCTTCAGAAATTTTTGGATATTATATATGCTTGAAATTCATGGAAATTGGTATCTCATTTTTTATTTTTATTTTTGTTTCGTTTTATTCGAACATCAGAAAAATAAAAATAAAAACTGAAAAATAAAAAAAATCCAAAAAGATTTTCCTTTTTGTTTTTATTAGGAATTTTTGTTTTTGATTGGATGGAGATATCATGTGTGATTTTGAACTTGATTGGTGGATGGAACATGTGTTATCTTAGATACTTGTCTGTGGTTCCATTGCTACCATATATCATCATGTTTTTGTGCTTATTGCAATATCTTATGCATGGATGATAGTTTTAATCTCTCTTCTTGTTAATTCTTCCATATTATTTCTTTTCTTTCTTTGTTAATTTGTAACAAAAAGGGGGAGAAGTGTGCATATTTGCGGGAGAGAGTTTCTAGAATTGAGAGGGATATATATATTGATATTCACATATTGATATATGTTGATTGTTTATCTTTCTTGATTAAGCTTCACGGATAGTTTTGTTGAGCTAATGTGTAGATTACAGGTAGCTACATGTGTTAAAGCTTCATGATGTTCAAGAAGAGTTCCATTTTATTTCTTTGACAATCATTGTAATTTGTTTTTTCTGCTTGGGTAGATTACATGTTATTTTTAGGGTTTTGTCACGAAATTGCCAAAGGGAGAGATTGTGAGATATATATTTTGGGAAGATTGTAAAAATATATATTCTGTAATTAGCAATTTTCGGAAACAAAACAAATCTTTGTCGAGTTGCAATTCAAGTTACCATATCCGGATCGACAACGACTGCAGAAAGGAAAGGTTGTTCAAAGTTACCATAACTGAGATCTTTCGAAGAATGTAAGAACAACACATTAGGAAGAATTCTAAAAAGGATAGGACACATTCTACACTTGGTATTTATTTCAAAAACTTACCATAAAGTGTTTTTCAGCCTTATTGAATCAATATTCAAGTTCCGGTAAACTTGAACCGGTTCAACCCCTCTGAACCAGCTCAAGGCTTCAAGTTAGCTTCGCAATAATCAACTACCAAACTTGAACCGGTTCAGCCCCAACCTGTTCAAGGTGTCCTAATCAGATTCCAACTGATAGTTTCCTTATTCTGATTTGTTTCCATGTTGTTATAGAATTCTGGAAAAGAAGAATTTATTCGTTCTTCGTCAAATTCAGATCTAGAAGAAAAGAGGTGAAGCGATCACACTTTGAAGGGGTTAGAGCATTCGTGGAGTATTGTCTGATCTACCTGTAACTCTTCTACAGAGATCGAGAGTAAGCCTGAGGTCGATAGCTCTTGGACGGGGGAGTCGCAAAGCCAAGGATTGTCAGCAATTGGTTTTTGGTAGAACGATAGGGTGTGAGCCTGAGTCAAAGTTCGGTATACTTTGCTTCAAACATAGTGGATCGTTTATCTAAGGACTGCTTAGTCCAACGAGATTTTTCCAGTTACAATTCGTCTATTCTACCAATTAGGGTTTCCTCGATAAAATCCTGGTGTCATCTCTCAAGCTCTATTTGTTTTACTTGCACTTTATTTTTGTTTTGTGATTTGATTTTAGTTTTATTTTGATAAAATTAAAATAAGTCAAAATTGGATAAAATAGCAAGTTAAATATATTTACCATTCTCTAGGTTATCTATCCATATTATATTTTACAACCATTCTGTTGCGCAAACTCAAAATGTCATTCTTCCGCGGAAGATGAATATCAATCTATGGCATTTGTGACGTGTGAAATTATTTGGTTTAAAAGTTTATTACGTAATCTTGTGATTTCTCATCCACAACCAGCTTCTCTCTCTTGACAATAAGGTTGTTCTCCATATTGCTGCCAGCCCATATTTAATGAACACAAAGGACACGTTGTGTTGGACTATCATATTATTCGGCTAGAAGTTCAAGCTGGTCTTATTCGCACAACTCATGTCCCGTCTTAATTACAACTGGCGAATGCACTCCAAGCCTCTGGGAAAAGATCATTTTCAACTCCCTATTAAGCAAGTTGGGTGCTTGTAAGGTTAACGCTCCAACTTGAGAGAGAAGTATTTCAAGATGTGCATCACAAAATAAGAATAAGAAATGGCACCCTATTTGTATTCTTTAGTTTCCATTTTGACCCTCTTTAAATGGATTCTAATTATAACATCACTGCCCCATTTTTACTTTAAAAACAAATAAATAAATAAAAAATATTCTTTTGTGTGTGTCTCTATTCGAGCTGTCTACATCCTTGTCTGTAACTTCTAATCTAACCTCCGTATGAATTGTTAGGGAAAAAGTGTGGCGTTATTGCTAAAGTGATAAAAGAGTCCGGCTTAAAGTGCCTCCACCCTATTGATTCTAGGTTCGATTCCCTCCTCCAACTAACTACTAACCATTACAAACATGTAAATCAAATTGTTATATTTTGAAATGTAGAAAGAAATGTCTATTTCCGAACACAAGATCAGACCCTTTACTTTTATCATATGTTCACTGTCCCAATCACTCGGCATATACCATTGCCGACACCCCTCCTTGAGCTGGCCCAAATTTTTTTTTTTTCCTTCTAATTCCTCCTTTGACAACCATCACTACATATATTCTTCCTTATCAAAAACATCAATCAGTGCATATATTCTCTCTCTCTCTTACCACAATTCCTCTAAGAAACGTCACTGCATATATTCTGACCACATAGCTTTCTCTTAACTTTTTGGCCCTTAACACTTCCCTATAGCGCGCTACTTCTTAGAACCATTCCCCTAAATTAAATATCATTCCAACAATCTAGGAAAACATAATAAGATTTTCTTTTTATCAGATGGAGATGAAGTGGGGTGGCCGAAAAAACCAGAATGGTCGATCGGAGAATTCGCACGAGGATGTCGACGGCAGCAAGTCGGATCTCAACTTCCGGAACCTGTCAAAGCTAATTCTGCCGCCATTGGGTGCTTCAAGTTGTAATCAGAATCAGATTGAATCCGAGGGGAAGATCATCTCTCCAGTAGATTCAAGATACAGGTAGGATGACAAATCAGATTGCATGGTAAAGAAGAAAAAATATCATATTATGTGTCAATGGTACGTGTTTATATTCATGCGTGCATGACAAGCACTTAAAAGAAAACAAAAACAAGAAAAGTAATTTATATATATATATATATATATATATATATATATATTTTTTTTTTCATTGACAAGAAACTCATACATTATTTTTAGAAAAACTCTCACATTTCACTTTGAGAGCTAGAAGACTGTACCAATGCCTTTGATAGTTGATGATTTAAAAAATAATAATAATAAAATTCAAAAAAGAGTATTTTTATTTGTATATATATATCCTTGTTAGCATGGCGGGTCCTGATATTCCCATAATTTTGAGTGGCCCTACACGAACTTTCAAATACCACACTCTTTATGCATAATTTTAATTTTTTTCGGCTCATGTCCTATTTTTTTTTATTTGCCCAAATTGAAGGTCCTAAGTAACCACCTATGCCCGGCCAGGGCCGGCCTCGCTTTTGGATATGCAAGTAGTCATAAACATGGTCTACTTAATCCAATTGGTTTTAACCTCGTAAATAACACACAACATACGTACTCACTTGTCCTTGTGAATTTGAACATTTGAAAAAGTATTACTACTTCCATCTCAAAAAAAATGTCGTTAATGGGGAATCGTATCAGTTCAATTTATAAGAGTTACGATTCTCTAAAAGTGACACTTTTTATGGAACGGCGGGAGTATTAAACTACAACTTTTATCACTAAAATTATTGATTATATATAATTAAAATATGATTGTGTTCAGTGGGAGAACTTAACTATTGTAATTAGCGCGCAGTAGCCTTGTCATATATATATTAATTGATTTTTAATTTATATATATATATATATGCAGGTGTTGGGAGACATTAATGGTGCTTTTAGTAGCTTACTCTGCATTGGTATACCCTTTTGAGGTGGCATATCTAAGTTCATCTCCAAAAAAGGAACTATACATCGCAGACAATGTCACTGATCTATTTTTTGCAGTTGATATTGTCTTGACATTTTTTGTTGCTTACATCGATCAGACAACTCAGCTATTAGTTCGTGACCGAAAAAAAATTGCTAAGAGGTTAGTTTAATTTACTGTTGAATTTGATGGAAATGGTTTTGTAACTATTCATGTATTCTCTCTTCCTATCTTATAATTTGGAATTCAATCTGAAATGACCAAAATGCCTCCAAGCTGGGAAGTATTGATACTTCTACAAAAAGTGATGTACTATTTTGTATCTGTATCAGATACCGATACTCTTAGAATACTGGTGAATGTTACTTTCTAAACGTATTTATAATTTTAAAATATATATATTTTTTTTGCTTCTAACATGTACGTATCCAATGGCGGATCTAAGGTAAGACTGGGCTCCAGCCCACTCCAAATTTTTTTTTTTTTAATCACTATCAGTAAATTTAGCCCAGCACCCAAAAAAATTAAAAAATAAAATAAAATAAAATTGATTAATTAATTAATTAATTATTAGTATTAGCCTACCCAAACAAGTCCAAGGCTAAAATAAAAGCCTAATCCAAACAAGCCCAAATACATGAACTAGTGCTATGTTCCTAGTTCTAAGAATTGCAATTCGCAGACCTCTGTTCTCATCTCCACAACTCCACTGGTCCACCACTGTCCTCCTCTAACCTCAAATATTTATATAGATTATGTTATATAAAAAAAAAATTATATAGATTATGTTATAAATATATATATATATATATATATATATATATATATATAGATTATGTAATCTTTGAATTCAAATATTTATATAGATTATGTTATAAAAAAAAAAATTCTTATTATGTTTAATTTTAGTTCACCCCATTGTCAATTCCTAGATCCGCCCTTGTACGTATCTGATACTTCTGATATACTTCGATGGTGTATTTGATGCTTGTCATATATTTAATAATACATTTTTAACAAATTTTGAACATTAATACAATGTAACTTTTCTAGCAATAATATGATTTTTAAGAAAAATTAAAACAATATTTATGAAATAAGTATTCATACAAAGTTTATCCATGCAAAATATGCAATAAAACACTTAACTCTTATTTTGTTGGATAATCATAATATTTTATTAAGAAATGTTAATAACAATATATATAATATAAATAAGTATTATTTAAATGCCTCAACATGAAATAAGATGATAAACTAAAGCTCGGAAAAATTTCCGAGCACGAAAACCCGGTCATAAGCCCACACGGGACCTTCGGGACTAGAAGATCCAAAATGAGCAAAATGACTCAAAATGTATTTCTAAGAGTTCTAAACCCGAAAAAACACTCAAAATAAAATCCTGGAACCCACGTGGCACGTATCCCCATGTACATATACATTAAGTAGGAAAAATGGAAAAATGCCCATAAAATAAAAAATTAAACCGGGCCTCACAAATCTTTAGTTGAGGTGGAGCCAGGTTTGATGATTGTTAGGATGTTTCTCAAATTGTTAAAGACTAATTTTATTCGAAGAAGTCAGACAAATCGCACTAATGCGGACCAGCCACACTTTCCTGATATGTGTACGTTGGATTTATTTCCTTATTTGAGAAATTGTTTTCCTAGAGGCTACAGACTTGTACGAATTGTAACCCGTGTCCAACCAAGAATGTGTTGAAAATTCTATAAATGAAGGTGGAGTTGTTTAAAGAAGGTAAAGAAAAAAAAAAAGGTTTGGTTGAGTGAGGAGAGGAGAGAGTGGTTGAGAATAGAGAGATATAGCCTCATAGAAGAAAGGGTTTGATATGACTTTAAATGAGCTGTGAGAGTTAGGAGTGGGTGACTGTGCATTCTCTACTATTATAATATTCTCTTCTTGATTTATTATAGTGACGACTCTTCTTTCCGCAGACGTATTGATGTGCCGATAATAAATTAACCACTCACAATAGAACGAATCCTTATAGGATAGGGTTATGTTGAGGGTGTTGAACCTTAAGGACTATGGTGGTTTATCAAGTCTTCAATTAATAGTATTTTAATTCAGAAAGAGGATTTGATTTTGTGTGTTGCAATAATATAAACAAAAAATAAATAAAGTAAAAAAAAAAGAAAAAAAAAAGAAAGAAAGATCAATGGTAGAGATACTTAGGGATTGACTTCACCACGATCCTCTTACTACGGTCAACTGTTCAACCTTGGGATTTCAACAATTTATATATCATATGAATTAAACTCAATAACATTCATTTAATTCGGTTCTAAATAAAGATGTTTCATTGAACTTAGCTAATGATAACCTATCAAAGTTGGCACGAATTATCCGCCTACCTACTTTTAACTAATGTTGCAGTGTAACTCGTTTTCCCTAAACATAGATTATGAAAGAGTTCATTCAAGAAAAACGTTTGAACACCATTACATGATCTCCATTCTTATATCCGGCAGGGCTCCACCAGATACCATCCAATAAGAATGGGTTGAGAATAATTTATGAGCAGTTATATCTAAGACAAGGTAATAACTATTCAGAAACTATTAATTGATTAAAACACCAATTAAGTTGGCTCAATTGCTCAAAATCATGTAATTAAAATATATAAACTATTAAATTCCCAAAGTATAAACAATCAAACCATAATAATCGGATCGGGGTTACATTAATGCCTTAAGAGAGGAATTAACCACTCATGACGACGCTAGATATTATCTGTGTTGGTATAGTCTTCATCGTCAAGGACTGCACTTCTCTCTTGGGGACTTCCCTTCAAAACCCTAAAAGCCGCCATAAGAGAGAGATATGAGAGATGAGAGATGGATGAGAGATGATTTTTTGTGGCCTTCTCCTCTTCTTATATAGTGGAGAACAAGTCTCAATCCCCTTTGGATTAGTTTTCTAGCTTTTTGTAACAATTGGGCCCATAAGGAAATAAAGAAATATGATTTTTGGTAATTCCCGCATGTATTTTCGACTTCCAAGATGTCCAGGCTTGAGCTTTAAAGTCCCAGGCTCGAGTTTTAAGGTTCAGGCTCGAGCTTTTGGGTTCAGGCTCGAGCATCACCTGCCAGTAAATTGTTCCGACTTTGTAACGCGATTTTGACCCATTTATAGTGTGAATCTCGAGATGGCTATTGCAGACAAAAATATCAGGCTTCGAGTCTTCTTTACATAGCCGCTGAGTTTGTTCAATTTGGAGTTCTGAGTCAAAAGTTATGGCTAAAATACTGAAGCAAGTTCAGAGTTTTTAGCCATGCTCGAGCCCGAAGTTTTAGTGCTCGAGCTTTCTAATTCGGGCTAAAGCCTTAAAGCTCGGGCTCAATCTCTGGGAGCAAAATTTGTCCGGAACATCTTTTTATTAATGGTACTCAATCCTCTCTTCATGGCGCTCGATCCTAAGGTGTTGGGCTCGAGCTTTAGGGCTGTGGGCTCGAGCTCTAAGTATTAGTGCTCGATCTCTAAGGCTTGGCACGAGGTCCTAGGAGCTTGGATCAGCTGTTCATATTCCGACGCCTTGTGCTCGAGCTTAAGGGTCAAGGCTCGAGCACCCTTGGTTAGGCTCGAGCACCCTTAGTTGGGGCTCGAGCTCAAAGGTACAAGGCTCGAGCTTTGGATCCTGAATTCTTCCAAACTTCACCATTTAAGTTATTGGCTTGTTCTGGATGACCGACAATGACGCGATAAACTTCATTATCATTCTTTTCATCATAAAAGTCCGGTTTTAACTGCTTCTTTGGGAAAACACCTAAAAACATTAAATAAACATAAATCAGTATAAAACAAGATAGATGTATCACTTTAGGTCTTAACATACGTATATTAAGAGGCTCGAATATGCAATATTCAGCGCTCATTACGTATCCCTAGAGGATGGGGTGAACCGCATTAAAATATTATGTTGTGATTAATTTGTGTATGATTGTATCTCAATATATGCGTGTTTGATGGTTGTGTGATGATATGCTTCCGTTATGCTGAATGAAGGGGATTTAATTCCCAACAACTATTATCAAAACTAGTTGGAGGGAGTTGATATTCCCAACAATGGGAACCTAGGAAACCCAAATACTTCTCTTAGGATGTCGTTGAGGTTTGAACACTCAGGCACTTCTCTAATACATGGATACGGGTCAAACACATGTCGAATATGACTAGAATTATCCTAAAAATTGAATATCTTGTTTCATGGCTAGACACGGTGCGGACACTGCAAGGATACATTTTAAACATTTTCAGGATATGGCAGGATGGTTTTGTAAATTTTTATTTATTTTTTGTAAGAATGGGATTCAATACAATTTAAAGTATATTATAGGTGTTAATTAGAAAAATAATATAAATTTTAAGAAACATCTAGTTCTAGGTTCCAAATTAGTGATTTTATTCATTATTATATGGATAAATGTCAATATATATATAAAATTTTACCAGTGTTCTATGATTTTTTATTTTTTTATTTTTTATTTTTTATTTTTTTATTATCGTATTTGTATTCGTATCATGTCATACTCGTATTTGTTTTGGTGCTCCTGAGATGAGCACCAAAACAAATGTCAATTGGTTGCAAGTAGTGGAGGTTTTGCTATTATATTGACAAGGGTTGGTTTTGGGGGGAAATTATTATAATGTACCATAACAAATGAATGAGGCTTGTGATATATTATAACAGGTACCTGTTAACGTGGTTCTTTATGGATGTGGCTTCAACAATTCCATTTGAGGCAATAGCATCATTCTTGTTCACGGGCAAATACCAAGTGGGTTCCTCTTACTATTTCTTGGGATTGCTCAGATTTTGGCGTATTCGAAGAATGAATCAATTCTTCACCAGGTCGGTATTAGCCCCATTTGTATTTTGGTCACAATACTTGACACTAGTCACCAGTGCACTACCTTTGGATTTTCTTTTTATTCTTTTTTTAAATTTAAAAATAAAAAAAGAATTGTTACCCAAAATAATAAAAGCTTAAAAAATAGTCTTGCTAAAACGAAACAACAAAAGAGAAATTATAATCGAGCTTCCCATTCTGAAAATTAAAACACAATTTTTTCTACTTTGCAGGCTTGAAAAGGACATCAGATTTAGCTATTTCTTGGTTAGATGTGCTAGACTCTTATCTGTAAGTCAAATTTGCAGCTATTTACAATTCAAAACAGGGCACACCAATTTGCTATGTGCACCCACTGAAAATTTTCCTGATTAGTTTGGTTCATATCAGTGCTTCAGTGGTGTGGTGAAGACGGTGTACATCCTCACCGATGATGACCGAATTATTGTTATAGGGGAAATATAAAGCATGGATAGAAAAGATGTCACCGCACAGGACATGAGTACCAAAACATGATAATTGAAGACTTTAGTGTACTAGTGATACCATATAATGGGTGTTATCAACCAATTATATCTAACTACATAAGTAAAAAATGTATCTTCATTAGTTCAGTGAGTTCTATCATTATATGTCTGGCATTTAATAGAACCACGATACCATGTCATCGATATTCTAAGAGCGTTAAAGTTTTTTTCCTGTGTGTAGGTGACACTGTTTCTGGTGCATTGCTCTGCATGCCTCTGCTACTTGCTAGCGGACCGATACCCACAAGAAGAAAGGACATGGATTGGGGCTTCAAATCCAGATTTCAGAGAAAAAAGCCTTTGCATTCGATATATTACTTCATTATACTGGTCTGTCACCATCATGACTACTGTTGGCTATGGTGACCTACATGCAGTGAACACTTCGGAAATGATGTTCATAATCTTCTACATGCTCTTCAACCTTGGCCTAACTGCATACTTAATTGGTAACATGACAAATCTAGTTGTTGAAGGGACTCGTCGTACAATGGAATTCGTATGTATTTTATTTTTATTTATTTTTTTATTTTAGAGATATGTTACATACATATTAATGCAATAGGATTATAAATGTCATGGTATTGTTGGCTTTTATGTTTGTAGAGAAATAGCATTGAAGCTGCATCAAACTTTGTTAGTCGCAATTGCTTGCCTCCCAGGCTGAAAAAGCATATATTGACTTACATGTGCCTGAGATTTAAGGCTGAGAGCTTGAACCAGCAACAAATTATTGAGCAGCTACCAAAAACAATATGCAAAAGCATCTGTCAACATTTGTTTCTGCCAACAGTCGAAAATGTGTATCTTTTTAAGGGTGTCTCAAGGGAAATTCTCTTGCTCCTGGTATGCAAGTTGCAACATTAGTCCGCGCCAAAAATTGAAACATATTTAGTAGGAACATGCATATTTGAATGTTTCACAACATATAAATATCTAATCTGATAATGTTTTAGTTGAAATTTTGTAGACTTAATTAGTGACCTACTAAATTTATGTGATGGAATTGATTAATTAGGTTGCAGATATGAAGGCTGAGTACTTACCACCTAGGGAGGATGCAATCATGCAAAATGAGGCTCCGGGCGATGTTTACTTCATTGTATCAGGAGAAGTGGAAATGATTGATTGTGATACTGATCAGAAAGAGCATGTTGTTGTGACTTTAAAATCCGGGGACATGTTTGGAGAAGTTGGTGCACTTTGTTCCAGACATCAGAGCTTCACGTATCGAACCAAGACACTTTCACAGCTTCTAAGGCTGAAAACCAATGCTCTGATGGAAGCAATGCAGACCAAACAAGAAGACAATGTAACCATGTTCAAAAACTTCCTTCAGGTTGGTGGCTAGGTAGTTCAAGAAAAGTCCAAGTATATTTCTCAATTTCTCTCTTCAGAAAGGAACAAAAATGTTGACATTAAGAAAAGCCCACTCCCAAATAAGTTGTCTTTATGAAATATGAAATATGAAATATGAAATATCATTGAAAATTGACATGTATATGCACAAATTGATCCACTCTCAGAGGGCAAATGACATGATATATATCCATGCAAAGGTACATTTCAAAAATGTGGTGCACTTATTTTGAATTTCAATATTGAAACTTCTTAATAAATTCTGTTTTGCAGCATCACAAGAAGCTCAAGGATCTAAGTATTGTAGATTTATTGCTTGATGGTGGGGGAGAAGATGGTAATCTGAACATGTCTGTCATCCTGCTTAGCGTTGCCAGTACAGGCAATGCTGCTTTTCTTGATGAGCTTCTCAAGACAGGTTTGGATCCAGACATTGGAGACTCCAAAGGAAAAACCCCATTGGTATGTTTCCATCTAATCTCAAAATGTTCAGCCTCTTCAAACTAAATCCACAGAAGGCGCATTAAATTTGAAAAAATTGAATAATGAAACATTTATCGCCTAGTCGATTCTTTATGCGATTTACTGCATTTGAGTCATAGTTAAATCTAAAAGTATACATTTTGAGAACCAACAAATATGCCCCAAAAATTGAAATGCTAATTGTTGTTGTTGTCAGTGTTATATATGATCTTTTTGTGATGCATCAGCATATAGCAGCATCTAAGGGGCATGAAGAATGTGTATCGGTGCTCCTCAAACATGCATGTAACATACACTTAAAAGGTAAAACACCATTGTTGTTGTCTTAATTTGTTTTACATCACAATTTTTTTTTTTCTTTCTTTTTGTTGATCTCATCTAATTATCATTATTTATGATTTGCAGACAGAGATGGTAACACTGCATTATGGGATGCTATAGCAGCAAAGCACCATTCCATATTTCGGATCCTCCACCACCACGCTGCAATCTCTGATCCCTACATTGCTGGTGATCTTTTATGCACAGCCGTTAAGAGAAATGATCTCACGGTGATGAACTCACTCCTGAAACATGGATTGTATGTGGACTCAAAGAATCACCAAGGATTAACAGCTGTCCAAATCGCGATGAAAGAAAACTACATAGATATGGTAAATCTTCTTATGAACGGTGCAGATGTCAATGCTGCAAAAGAGAACGACTTCCCTCCGGTGAATCTGAATGAAATGCTGCAAAAGAGAGAGATTGGACATCGACTAATGGTACCAGATATGATGCCATATGAAGTGCTTCTTAAAAGTCATGAAGTTGAGCAGCAGTGTTGCCACTGGGGGGGATCAACTCGGCCATGTTATCCGAGAGTTAGCATATACAGAGGCCATCCTGTGCCCAGGAGAGACAGTTGTTGTGCAGAAACTGGGAGGCTTATTAGGCTTCCAAATTCTCTAGAGGAGCTCAAGAACATTGCAGGTACATTTTGTCAAGCTCTCTCTGTTGCCAAAATCATGCTTATCTAATTGTTTTTTTATAGTTAATTTCTAAAGTTGTTTGTCATTACATCATTTTGATGAGTTATTTTTAGTGGATATGTGGTTTCAAGGATACAAATTTGAGTTCATTTCATTGATAGATTTATTTCTGACAGGTGAAAAGTTGGGATTTGATGCAAGAACCACATTGGTATTGGATGAAGGAGGAGCAGAAATTGACTCCATTGAAATGATAAGGGATAATGACAAGCTTTTCATAGTTGAAGACTCTCAACTTCCTAATGTAATCAGAGATTAATTTTTTATGTCCTGAATTAATTAGGACCAACAATTGATATTATACATATTTCTCCTAATGAATAGAAGTCTTTTTTTCCTTTTTGTAAATCGTGTGTTGGGCAATAGGGGTGCCTTCGTGCTAAAAAAAATAGGGGTGCCTCCTCTTTTTCTCAGTGGTAAATCACTAAATTGTATTCTTTGCAAAGGGCATTTTATTATTATCATGGGTAAAGTACACTAACACCTCCGGAGGTTTGTTTAAAGGACACGTAGATGAAACTTAGACTATTTTGGTACAAAGTCACCCCCTCAAGTTTAACACAGTTACCAAAGACACCCCAATGGTAATGAATTGACATTTTTACCCTTTAACTTTAATATTGACTTATTTAAATGTTAAAATGACATTTTTAACCTATGCTCACAAACCCTTCCTTCTCCCACTTCTTCGTACTTGTCGAAACAGTTTCTTTCACCGTCACTAACGACCACCACTTTCGCAGTGTGCATTTTTCTTTCTGACAATGATTTCAAGTGCAAACATAACGAACCCATAAACATCAGATTTATGACCGGCAACCTCTTTAACGACTCCTTGAAAAGACAGTTCCTGTCGTCCTTCACCGTCCTCATCATTGCCGGACTCCTTGCATCGCCGTTCCTCAATGTTAACGCTAAAATCGGCTGGGTAGATCCGATTCTAAATTGATGTAATACGGGTGTGCCAGAACCAATTATATGGTTCAAGTGTAAATTGTCAACTGCAGTCCCTTTAAGAAGGTTGACTTCCAGATGATGCGAGGAAAAAGGGAACAGTAAAACTCCTATTTTGAGTTCAAAATTGCCTTAATTAAAAGGACTTTTACAATGAATAATTTATAGTAATAGATTGAGAATAGAAAGGGGAGAAAATCTAGATGAGATAGAGGGAAAGAAATAGAGGAAGAGAATTAGAACGAGATAGAGAGAATCAGATCGATAGAGATAGAGAAAAATAGCGAGGATGTTATCTAGGGAAAGGAGCTTGAGAAAGCAAACACAGTAAATTAAAGATTCTAAGGGTGCTGGACCTCTTTCAAAACATGCCTCTACAATTATTTATAAAATAAAGTAAAAACAAAAATACTAACTTCAAGTACTTGACTGACTTGATGACTCTATCACATTACAAACAATATATTTAAATTAAACTATCTTAAGGATAACTACTAATATTTAACTAAAACCAACGAAAAGATAAATACTAAAACTATGATCCCTATCCATCACTTTATTCAAAGGCTTTTCTCATCTTTATCGCTCATCCATGAAATTCCAACTTTAATCCAAGTGAAAATACAATCCACCTGTAGTTAAAAAATTGTCACGTCACTACCCATGTGGTTTTACCAAAAAGGGTGTCAACAATGCTCCCCAATTTTAAATGCCTTATCGGCTGTCAGCTGCCCAAGCCAATAAGTGACGAGCCCCTTTCTATGTGTTCAGAAAACGAACTTTGTAATGCGAGAGGTTGCTTCGCAAGGTCAAAATATGAATATGGTTTCAGAAGCCGTTAAAAGTCAAATTTACATTTATAAAAACCACTACTACAACTAATGAAGCATAGTGAGTAGGGATCGTTCACAGAGATTATACATGTTGGAATTTAAATTCGACTCTAATGTACCAAATGATTGCAAAGGAGGGTTAGTTGATTGATTACTCTAGAAAATAATTAATTAAAATACAATTAAAACAAACTAAGTTGAGATAAGGATTTAAGAGATGAGAAGTGAGGTCTTGGGATGTGTTGGAATTGCCACCAAGCTTATTCACCAAACCACACACTTTCAACTAATTTGGGGAAAACCTCCTTGTGAATAAAATGTGATTACCAATTGCAATATTAAGAATGGACCATCAAATTCAATAATGAATTGTCTACCTAACCAACAAATAAACTAAGTGTAGAGCAACCCATCAATTCTAAGCATGACCCATCAAACTAGTCACAATTGTAGCACACATCAATCTAGAGAATCATGGAATTTGCAATAATAAGCCATGAAATATCAAATCAAGTACAGATTATCTACCTACCTACAAATATGAATTAAATTGTAGAACAACCCATCAAGCATAAGAATAATCCATCAAATTAATTGACAAACCCAACTAATAAAAAGCATGTCTAGCCATCACTAGATTCTCAATTCATCACACATAGACATGCAACAAACATAGAGAAAATAATGTAGAGATCAATTCCCCAATAATCACACATAAGACAAAATGTAATCATATAGAGAATCAATAGAAAGAATTAATCCATAAAAATCAAAGGAGAACCCAAGATTCATTAAATTTACAAGGCTAAAACACTAATCACAAGATATTATTCCCCAAAAAGTATGAAAAAGATAGAGGTTTAGATTATAAACTTGGGGCTCATCCAAGCTCCAAGGAGAAGTCTAGCCAATCATGGAGGAGGTGGGTGTGATCTTGGAACCCTCAAAGGCAATCCCCAAACATGGCTCTATTTTCTTCCTCTTCTTCTTTGTTGAATTCAAGAGAGAGAGTGTGTGTAGATGTTGAAATGTGTTCTTGGTGCCTCCACTCTTCTCTTTTCTTCTAACCCTATTCTCTAACTTTTCTAGAGAGAGAAAAATAAAATTACAAGGTAAAAGTAAAAATGATAAAAAGCTCTCTTGCAAAAATGGTTCATTTAGATTATATAAAAGCCTCTTTGAGTAGGCACCAACTCAAAAATATAGCCTATGATTGAAAGAAATTCGTAACTACACAAGTTAGGTAGAGACCGGCGCAATCGGGAATTAGATAGCTCACTACCAGCAGCATTTTTGATCAATCGAAGATTCTCGATCGATCAAACACTTAGCTTCGATCGTTCGTAGCTGACGTGGCATCAAAAATATCTTCTGGGCCTTATCCACTTTGTTAAGCTGGCACCGCCTCATTTCGATCGATTGTAGATCTCTTCGATCGATCGGGATTCCCTTCGATCGATCGAAGCTCCTCTAGTGCATTTTCTTGGCTTATTTCCAACTTTGCTCCTTAACTCCAAAATTGAGCTAAATAGCTCTTATTAGCCTGTTTGAAGTTTATTAACCTGAAATAGACAATAACACAAATAAGTATCTAAGACATGAAAGTAAGATAGATGAATAGACTAACATACCTTAGCTTAGGTGCTAAAATGCTTCACATTTGACCACTCATCACACCTTCAAACTTAAATATTGCTAGTCCCTAGCAATGAACTACAAGGAAAAGAAAGAAATGAACATTTAAGTAACTATGAATTAGAAAGTAATAAAAGGATAATGCTACTTTCGTAGGGAATACGATTGCATTTAGCATATGTAATAAGCCTTTTAAACCCCTAGGTTACCCATAGTGGATGAGTGAAGTCTCGTGAGGGTTTCCAGAAATGATACCCATAGACATTAAGCTCTTTCTCACTAAAGAGGTACCAACATACAAAACAAGCATTGGGAGAAAACTACCTCAAGTATGCAATTTTTCAACCATTTCCAAGTAATCTCCCAAAATCTCAACACCAAGCAAACAAGTATGGTCCTCCACACATCACGACAATAATCATGCAAATTAAAACAACTCTAGAATCCTTTTTAAGTGAACCTGCATCAAATATGTTGCTATCTAAGCCAACCAAAGAAATGATCACATCCGGCCTCAAACTAACACACAAAACTAGTACCGATCATAAAGACAAAGAATGAACCTTTTATTAAAGCTTTATTCATCTAAGTGTGCTTATTCTTTCACTCGATATTTTTTTTTTTTTTTTTTTTTTTTTTTTTTTTTTTTTTTTTTTTTTTTACCTTAAAGGATCAAAGATGGAAGCATAGTGCAATGTGTTGATCTATTAAGTTTTCTAGCGATCCCTGAGGTCGAACGTTAGGCCAATGACTCCCAAACCGGACGGCTTTAGGGCATTAGGTGTTTAAACACCCCTAGGACTTACAAGCTCAAATCGACTAGGCTACAAATCAAAATAGCATCCATCTAATCTTTTCCCAGTTCTCACTTTTCGGGAGAAGTCCTCACTTTTTTTATTTGCCTTTGTAACTTCTTTCTTTCTTTCTTTTTTGCTCTCTCTTTTTTTTTTTTTTTTTTTTTTTTTTTTTTCTTCAAGTTATTAACCTAGAGTTTGGGCCCTCCACCTTTCGGTGCGAGAAATTCAACGCTTGATGAGGCTAGAATCCTGGTTACTCAATGAAAAGGGATTGTTATCCACTCTTGTCAAGATAAAAGCTTTCAGTGCACTACAAGCTCAATTGGGATATAACCAAATCAATAGTCTACAAAGCATGTACCCTACAAATGAATGCTAGTGTGCACTTGTGCTAATGTAGAATCCTAGAGTGAATCTCAAAACAATCACAAAATCAAGATGATATGGACCACATGCTCTTTTTTTTTTTTTTTTTTTTTTTTCTTCAAGTTATTAACCTAGAGTTTGGGTCCTCCACCTTTCGGCGTGAGAAATTCAGTGCTTGATGAGGTTAGAATCCTGGCTACTCAATGAAAAGGGATTGTTATCCACTTTTGTCAAGATGAAAGCTTTCAGTGCACTATTAGCTCAATTGGGATATAACCAAATCAATAGTCAACAGAGCATGTACCCCACAAATGAATACTAGTGTGCACTTATGCTAGTGTAGAATCCTAGAGTGAATTTCAAAACAATCACAAGATTAAGATGATGTGGACCACAATTGCAAGCAAGCTATCAATCTTTCTAAAAATTTACTCCTAAATGGCATCCACAAGGCATACAAGGAGTATTGGACTCTCAAGTCAAGCAATTTTTAAATTCTAAGTATCATAATCCTCAAAAGATCAAAATCATAGCTAAAATGGATTTCACATCTTAATCATGCAATTAAAGCTCCAACTTAAGTAGAATGCAGTAAAGTCACCTTACCCCTAAACTTAAAACGCACATTATTCTCAATGTGCAATGAGAACAATGGAAAAGATGGAAAGAATATACTGTGGTGGAAAAGACATGAAGCCCGGTAGTGATCCATTAGGAAAGAGTGCACCCCCAAACTTACAATCAACAACATACTTGAATAACC